CCTGAACCCCCAGCGCTCCTGCACCCCTGCAGCTGCCTTACCCCTGCGCCCCCAGTACCCTGCGCCCCTGCACCCCCAGTGCCCCTGCACCCCCAGCGCCCCTGCACCCCTGCTTTTCATTGAAATCAACATTCAGTAAGAGTCAGCTTTTAAGTGACAGGTGCACAGGGGAACTGTTCTGCTCTTCTGACATGCCCTCCTCTCGGAGCCATTCGGCATTTGAGGCTCTCCGAGCTCCACGGTTCATGTCCAGTACCTGCCGCTGTTGGCTGATGTGACCGAGGCTCCTGATGTCTGGCCCATGAGGCTCAGCTGGATAATGAACCGAACGAGCACCTTTACTGTTCGTACCACCTGGGAGTCCTGAGCCTTTTTAACCTGCTCCTGCTCTCCGTGCTTTGACTTTTCTTCAGGTTAGCAATGAAGTGTGGCAGGCCGAGTTCAGTCTGGTGCAGTCCTCTCCTTAACTCGCTCCCTTGTCTCTGTCTTAGCAGCTCTGATAGGTGACTAATGATGGCCAGACCCCGCTGTGAGTGACACTGTCTCAAATACTCCTACAACGAGTGTTATTTGTGTATGAGATCCAGTTACTTACACTTCTGAATACCATGGAGGGATTTCAGCAACCCAGTCTTCAGTACAACCCAGGTCTTGGTAATTTAATTAACAAACACATTAGCTGAAATCATCACAGTTTAAGTAATGAGCATTGACAAATGACACATAGAACCAAGGTTAGGGAAAAAAGCAGCATAAATATTGTTTAGAATACCTCTTAGCAACTTATCAAATGCAAACAGATCTTTGGCAGGACAGCTCATCACTTTCTCACTGCAGCGGTCTGGAAGGGCCAGTTCCCTAGTGGTTTCACTGAAATTGATTTTTTTAAGCAGAAGAGCAGCTTCAGCCTTGTTTCTCTGTTTATAGAAGAAAGAGGAACACGCCCTTGTGCAGGGACAAGCTGGATGACTGAGGGCCTTGGTCAGATTTAGAAGCCCTTGCCCACCTGTCAGGAAAGAGCCACTCAAACGTAAAACCACTTTCTCACTCTGTGGAGGAGGGCACTGAAATAAGAACAGGGCCACTCAGTATTACATCATTGTTTTACTTTTTTTAAATCTGCAGTCTCTGCGCACACTTTTTCTTCCTTGACAGCCTAACCTTGATGTGCAGGCAAGTTGTTCAAATTTAAACTTAGTCACCTTGGCTTGAATTCTCCTTTTCCCCCTGTTTGACAGCTTCTGTTGCTTGTATACACCTATGGCAACCTAACCTAACCTTCATGTCTTAGTGTATGAGCAGCCTCCTCTCCTGTCTGTTCTCCAGCATGCTAGGACAGCCAGTGTAAGCCCTGATCCGCTGACAGAGGTTGGTAGATGGGAGAGCGGTTGTCGTGTCCCATTGGAGGGCTTGTAGCACATCGTGAGGCAGTGTGAGCCTCTCTCTAGCGCCAGATCTGAAGGATCTCAGCGCGGAATAGGAAAGGCAGTCCTGTGGACTGAGTGTGGCAGTGTGTGCTTGGACTAGGAATTGAAGCCCCAGGAGGAAGGCAGGTTATTGAAATGTTTTTCCTCCAGGTTGACGGTGACATTCCCACGCGAGTGAAAAAGGATGCCCATGAACTCATCCTGGATTTCATCAGATCACGACCTCCGTTGAAACCAGTGAGTGACTGTGGCCTGGCTGTGCTAATCTGCTGTTCTGGTTAAAATACCAAGAGTCTATGTGTAGAGACACATAGAAAGATATAGCTTTGCAGTGTATTATTATGCACTATATAGGACTAAAAGCAAATAGCTTTTATCTGTGCCATCCTATTAATTGGCCGATGTTCATTCGGCAAATAAAGCTGGCAGAGAAGCACACTTGACCTTTGACAAATGTTGAAGTGAACTCTCTACACTTTAACACAGACACATCAAGCATATAAAACAGGGATCTTGTTAAAAGTCAGTTCTGCACTAATACTAGAAAATACTATACATAAACAGATCACAGCACCAAAAGATGAAACCCAACCGTTATGCCTTCACCAGGGCTGTTTCCTGACAATGAAAAACATATCTGTAGTTTTTAAAAGGTTTAAGAATTGAACATTCATCATAAAATTTAACATGCGATTCTAAATCTTCTTCTTATAGGTTTTTTAAGTGTTTGAAGTGCTGATTTAGACCGATTGGTAATATTCCTCTAGTCGTGTCGTGGAGAGGATCGTCCAGCACTGAGCTGGGTGCTGTGGTACATTGCCTTGCACAGTGTAATGTGGCGGCATGGGTGCAGCGAAGTGAGATTGGTCATTTTTGCTGTGTCGTGGTATTTAAATTTGTGTTTCAGATCAAAAGATAAGAGGCAAAAGCACAGAATGTCTGCTCTTATTTCTGGATATTTTTGTGCATACATTTTTAACCATGAAAGAGCAAAAATGTTTTTGTGTGACATATTCACTTCACTGTCCCAGTACTGATGTTTCACCGTATTTAGGGAAGTGGAGCGCTCTGATGGGCTGATATCGGTGTAGACGTTTCTTAGCTTCTGCTACACAAGAAGCCCTTTTCCTCCTGCAGAAGCTTCCTTGTATCGGCTGGGGTTTTCTAAAGCTGCCCATCAGAATGCAGCCCTGTCTGAGCTCTCCTTCCCTTTCTCCTTCTCTCCTTCGGCTATCCCCCTCTCTCTCCCTCTATCTCCCTCACTCCCCCTCCCTCTCCCTCTCCCCTCTCTCCTCCCTCTCTCCTCCCTCTCCCCCTCCCTCTCCCTCCTCTCCCCCTCCCTCTCCCCCGGCAGGTGTCCGAACGCAGCCTGCGGCCCCTCCCGGAGAGGCAGCACTCCATACACGAGAGGATCCTGGCTGAAATCCGGCAGGAGAGGAAGCTGAAGCCAGTGGAGCAGCCGTGCTGTGGCAGGAGAGGTGCGCGCTGCATCGCCACCGCAGGGGCTCCCCCTGCTGTCTGCAGCAGGAAGCACAGCCTCGCCTTCTGCGTTCCCTGACTGGCCTCTTACTTAGGCTAATCGTGTTTCAAATCAGCTCTGGGAAAAAAAAAAAACTTGGCCTTAATCTTTACAGGTGACTTGAAATCAGTAAAAAAAAGGTATATGTTTAGAATAGTACACTGCGTAGGTATTACTTTACCATCTGGCTCAAGGAGGAGTAGTGGATGAGCTCTATAGTCCAGAAGCAGCCACGTGTATCATGAATCAAACCCTGACCCCAGCTTTAAGACACAAACTGCAGAGCTGGTGGAGAGTCTTGGAGTGGATGGATGAAATAAGCGGTGCATGATTGTTCAGCAGTTTCTGAGCCCACCCTCCTGCTTTCTGCCGTCCCTCTTCGGTCCGGGACGCCTAACGCCAGTGTCTTCCCCACGCTCAGCTTTCGGCTCTCTGCCCTGCCTGGTCCATGCCTGTACCTGCGACGTCAAGTCCACCTCCTGCATCGACCTCTCCGTCCCCGAGGGCGGAAACCGCCTGCCCCCACCGCGGCCCAGGGTCCTGCTCAAAGCCCCCACCCTGGCCGAAATGGAGGAGATGAACATATCGGAGGTGAGGGAGAGCTGGGTCACTTTGAACCACAGTGATCTGATTTCAAATGTGTACATTATATTACTATATAATATATCTGTATGGGTTATACTAGTATACCATATTATATACTACAGTACAGTCTATCAGAATGGGTTATATTAGTATGTTATACAGTAGATCATTGTGGGTTATATTAATATTAGTATATTATAAAATAAATCAGTGTGGGTTATATTAGTATATTATACAGTAAATCTGTCTGGGTTATTTTAGTGTATTATATAGTACACTAACAACACACGCCACACCTTCTACCTTTACCCCTTCATTTACTTATTCATAGCTACTTTTTAAAGAGTGTAAGTTGCCAGAGAGTCCCCTTGAGCTGTAGCGTGTCCTCCATTTCTGAAGCCTCAGTGTTGTTGTTCTAGAGCCGAGGGCCCAAGGGAAACTCCCAGGAGACCCCCAAGGTGGGTACCCGCGTAAGCACGCTCCTGTGTGTTCTCTACTCGAAGCCTTCGTTTTCTGTGATCATGAGGAGATGCGCTGCTTTCCTCAGCTCCTGCAGCTCCTGCTTGGCTCGTCTTGATTGGTGGTTTTTATCTGTGGTCTTTTTTTGGGGGAAGAGGTTTCCTTCCTGTTC